TGGGCGAGACTGGGACGGTGTGGGGCGTGGGGGCTGGGGGGGGGGGCACGCACGACGGTCGGACGCAGGACGCAGATCGCACAGTACACCACACAGTCCACACCAGCGTACAGCGCTGGGCGCAAGGCGTGGCTGTGAGCAGAAGAGCCGACGCATCCGCGCAGGGGACACAGCGGAGCGTCCGTGTCGGCGTCACCTGCGTGCATCCGTTCTCAGAGGCCGCCAGAGTTGATGCTCGAACACACACACCTCTGAACTCACAACCAGCGCGCCGCCGCCTCTGACGAGAGGCCGGCAACGATGGCGTCGCCGGCAGCATCGCCCGCCGATGCCGCAGCCTCTGACGGCTTTCCCTCCTTGCAATCCTCCTCTGCCTCCCCCTCCTCCGCCATGGACTTTTCGACGTTGCGTGCGAGGTCGAGAGCGGCGTGCTGCTTGTCGAGGAATTCGCCCGTCGCCTCGAAACTCAGCCGCCGCATGGAGACTCACTCTCCCTCCTCCCGGCGGCGACCTCCGCCTCTGCAGCCCCCGCCCTCTCCTCGCTCGCGCTCGCTGCGGCTTAGGCACGCTCCAGCGCCACCGCCGCCGCCGCCGCCGCCGCACAAGCCTCCTCCGCCGCGGCGCGCTCAGCCTCTTGCTTGGCCTTATGGGTTTTAGCGAGATCGATCAGATTCAGCAGCAGAGCCGGGTGCTCCTCCTCCTCCCCCTCCCCCTCCTCCTCCTCCTCCTCCGCCTCCCCCTTCGCCCCCCCCCCCTCTTCCTCCTCCACCTCCGTCAGCGCCGGCTCATCGCTCGGCGGCGGAGGGAGCACCGTCAGCGTGAGGGGCCCCAGGCTCGCCAAAGCCCCCAGCGACTCCGTAGAGTTCCCTGAGACACGGAGCCCGTCCACTGCGAGGACGGCCGACAGCAGAGGCACGCCCAGCTCGAGCGCCGCGCCCTCTGCGGCCTCGACAGCGATGCCACCGCCCCCGGCCGGGTCGTCTGCCAGAGTGAGGCCCGTCGGGCCGGCGGGGAAGGAGAAGGTGCGCGGCTCCTCGCTCTCCGCCAGCATGCTGAAGCCCGCTGGGCCGGCAGGCCCGTGCTCATACGGCGAGGAAGAGAGCGGAAGGTCGGCAAGTGGCTCGGCCATCCGCGTCCACGTCCCTCGCCCCGGTCCTCGCCGCCGCAGCGACGAGTAGCCGAGGAAGAACCACGCGTAGAGGGAGG